GATAAAGCCTTTATCACAGAACTAACTGATGCTTAGCAAGTTATGTTTCAAGGTATCAACAACTAAATCATTTTCAATCAAAAGGTTCTTGTAGTTTCTGATTATACATGTGTCCACCACTTTCCTGGTGGTGTTGTCTCCAAGAATGACCTTGTCTCCAGCCCTGGCCTCCAGTAAAATGAATTGATTGGCATCTCCAGTCATATAGAGTGAGCATCCATTGTCTAGGTAACACATGCTCTCATGAGGCCTTGTGTGAGAGCACACCAACAAAATCATCAAATGTTAGATTTAGGAATCCAAACAAGTTTGGATCCCTTCTTATAGAAAGAAGAATATAATGAATATGTGTTCTGCTATGAATAATGCAATTTGGGTCTCCACACCAAATGTGTTCTATGGTGAATGATGCATGTGTAAGAAATATGTTATAACATGCCACATGAAAAATATCTAACACCAAAAAAAGGGTTTACTAATATATTTGGGTTATAGTGCCTCTTCCTATTTTTCAAATTTTTTTTGCTTCGGATCAAGATTGAAAAATTGTTCAGGTGTTGGTGGAATCTTATTTTCCTCAAGTGCTTTCAATCTAGCTTTAAAAATTAAGTTAGCACTTTCTGAAATAACATTATCAACATTCAAATATTACTCCATACTATCAAATTCATCCATAAATAATTTAAAATCATTTTCAAGTTTAATGTGGGATAATTTCAACAATTCATATTATTTGTTCAATTCATCAAACTCATCCAATAGTTTCATGTGATTGCGATCAAGTATATAATGATCTTTAATCAAAATTTTATGCTCTTTTTATAAATTCAAAAATTTAAGTTTCAAGCTAGCATGTGATTTTTTAAACTTTCTATAAGATGAATGAATTTTCTCAGAAACTTCAAGCAATTGATCGTATGATAGTTCGCATATCTCTTCTAGGTCAAAATGACCAAGATGTTTGTCTGCCATCAAACACAAGTTTATTGTCTCATCTTCAGTTTCAGTCTTAGAGGAGTCAAATGCAGAATCTTCCTAAAAAGCCTTTTGGCTATTTTTCTTGTCCTTCATGAACTTGGGTTTCTCCTCACCCTTCTCATTGCTTGGGTGAGCATTAAGTGTAGGACAATCATCTTTTATATGTCCCAACTTCCTACATTCAAAACAAATGATATAAGAAAGACTTTTAGAATTTTTGCTACTCTTACCTTTGTTCCACTTATGATGGTGCTTTTATTTATTTCTTATGAAACTCTTAAATTGTCTAATAATTAAGGCAACATCATTACTTTTAGAAATAAAGGAGTCAAATATTGTATCATTATCCTTTAAGGCTACAATTTTTTCCTTCTTCTTCTCCCTTATTTCAAGTTGTATTGGTTCACTCCTTTCTTGTAAGTAATGAGTGATCCAAGTAAGTTATCTATAGAGTAAACATTCAAATCATTAGATTCAATTATAGTAATAATCTCTTAGCATCAAAGAAAGAAGACAAGCATATCAAAATTTTGTTAACTCTCTAATAGTTAGTTAGTTCCCTTCCTAAGGCATGTAGGGAGGTGATAATTTGTGTAAACTTAGTATACATTTCAGATATCGATTCACTAGGTTTCATATAAAAGAATTCATAGTCATGAAGTAAAATATTCAACATAGATTACTTAACTTCACTTATGCCTTTATAAGTAATATACAATTTATCACATATTTCTTTACCAGTATCACTAGTTGAGTCATGCATATAATCTTCAGATTTGAGTGCAAGAAAAAATAGTTTAAACATTTAGCATTACGTTGTGCTAGATCCCTATCATCAAAAGTCCATTTAATAAAAGAAACTTTAGTTTTGATGCCATTGATTTCACGTGATGGTGTAGAATAAGCTTCTTTAACAAGCATTCACATGTGATAATATATAGATTATAAAAATATGGACATGCGAGTTTTCCAGAAATTAAAAGGTATATTATCAAACAAGGATGGTCGGGTAATGGCCTACCCATCAGTGGTATTTCAATTACAAAAGTTAGCCGTGGTTCAAAATTCAAAAGTTTTTAAAAACTAGATTTTATGAATCCCGCTCTAATGCCACTTAAAAGTTTGTTAAGATTGTTAATCCCTTATAAACTAGCCCGAGGCTAACCAAGTGGGGGTGGGGTGAATTAGTATTTTTAAAAATTCTTAAACACTAAGTAAAAACTTTTTGAATATTTTAAAACAAATGCAATCAACCATAGAAATTAATATATGAAAAATAAAGTGTAGGAATAACACAAAAAGAATACACTGGATTTTATAGTGGTTCGGTCAACTTGACCTACGTCCACTCAGTGGAGCCTTTCCTCTAGGTATTACAATAAAACACAGTGACTCTCATTTTGCTCTCACAGTAAGGTAGAGAAGCATTTACAACTCTTTTTCACCGAACCCAGTGAGATAGAGAACTTGAACTCCTTTTGCTTCCTCTTGAAGCAGGTAGAGAACTTTGATCGATTGCTGATGAAGACCTCCCTAGAGCCACCAAAGAGCCAAAACAGATGAATGGAGAAGATGACTCGAATCCTTACTTGGAGCAACCTTTGTAAATACCTCATAAACTCCCCCTCATAAGATTCTCTCTCTCTCTCTCTCTCTCTCTCTCACTCTCACTCTCTCTCTCCCCCAAGCTCTCCCTCTCCTTCTCTAAGCTCTCTCAGGTCAGTATAATAACAAAAGATCCTCTCAATAATAATCAAGAGATCTTATAAAGAAGGCCTTAAAAATTGCCCTAATTTGCAACTTTTCATCAAAGATTGTCTAGGACGATCGATAGATCATCCTGTACAATCAGTGTATTTCATCCCTTCTAGTTAAGATGATTTGGGTGTGCTCGAAAATTAGAACAAGTGGTTTATTCTGTTCGTCCAGGATGATTAGGATATTGTCCTGTACTATTAGTTTAAAATCATACATATCATCCAATATATTGCTCTAGTTGTTCAGGAGATCCATATTGGACGATGAAGAAACATAACAAATCGTCCCGGACGATGCTTGTATCATCCTGCATGATTAGTTCAAAATCAGTGATTATCGTCCAACACATAGTTCTAGACGTCCAGCATAAACATATGGACGATGAACAATATAATTGATTGTTCAGCAGATTGTTTGGGATGTCCAGCTGATTTAAGAGATGATTAAGATTTTTCTAACTAATCGTCTAGGATGATATGATTATGCAATCTAACCTTAATTACTTTCCTTAATCACCTGACTAATTTAGATATGATTGTAGTGAATCATCTAGGATGATATGGTATCGTCCTATATGATTTTTAATAATAATAATATCATACCTAAAAGAATTTGACAGTTGAATCTTTCTGATTTGAGCCTATCGTCCAAGATGATTTGCTTAATTAGGTTGGTTTGACATAGATGTCCTAATTAGGGTTTCTATTTTTAACTGATCGTCCAGGATGATCTTGGATCATCCTGTACGATATGATCAAAAATAAAAAAACTCTTAAACTTACAGAATTTCTCCCCCTGAGTGTGTATGTGCAAGGTTACTTAGCATCAGGATCCCCTTATTACATTTGACTCAAGAAAGAGTAAAAACCTCTAGAATAGTTATAGACTCACTCAGTCCTAATCTATTCAATCTTGAGATGGCATGATTTGCAATTGACCTTATGGACCTGAAAAGTTAGTAGGAAGAGCAACTAAAATAGATGTGTAGTAGTAACAAAAGTAGAGAAACATGAATGCTAAGAATGTTTGTTATCATCAAAACTATAATCCTTAAATCCATATTTGCAACAGGCCGGAGGTCATCAAGTGGTGCTGCTAGGGCATAATGATGGGAGACATATGCAGAGGTCGAGTTGACTTTGACTATGGAGTCATCGAGTGTAGAGGGATGACGACTAGAGGTAGCGGCTGACGGCGCTGTAGGCGGCTGGAGGTCGGAGGTAGAAGGTGACCGCAAGTGAGTAAAGAATCCCTTTCCGTCTTCCTTCTCTATGTGCATCTGAATCTGAGAGCCTGTGTCCAAATGAGGGGGTTGAGAGATTTTTGTACGTGGGGAGTGCGGTTTGAGTGATCGTGGGTGAGGTGGTTATGTCCGATCGTGGGTGAGGTGAACGTGGGAGTTGGCTGTTTGGCAGTTTCATTCTATAGTCAATAGTAAATGAAATTTTGAATGAATGAATATAGAAATATGTTTTGATGAAATCGATTTGTAGTGGCTTTCACTAGAATTATTTAAATTAAGGGATAATTAATATAACTTGTAAAACTAAGAAGATAGAAAATATACAATCATTCCAATTTAAATCTTGGGACGTCACATAGAGAGAGAGAGAGAGAGAGAGAGAGAGAGAGAGAGAGAGAGAGAGAGAGAGAGAGAGATGCTTTGAAGGTGAATGTCTGAGCACTCGAGCAGCTGCCAGCATGTGTGATGATGTGAATTGTGTACCCGAGAGTAATTTTTAGAAGACAAAAAAGAAAAAAAAATCTAATATTATTAGGTTCATATTACTAAATATAACATTAATTAGGAGGTAAATAGTAGACTAGTGAGGGCCCATGCCCCCAATTTAAATCTACTAATGAATTTAGTCACAAGTTGTTGAAATATTTTTTTATATAAAATTAGCACCTATATTATTAAAAATAAATGATCAACTTTGCATATGGACATTTTCTAAGATCAAATCATTAAAAAATTATTGGAATTAAAAGAACTAAATTACAATTTTGCCCTACAAAATTTCATCATAAATGAAATTAATTGGATGCCATTTTATAAATAAATAACATGTAAATGCTATTTATGAAAAATAACAATAAACTTTTTGTTCAATTCTCTGTCGAACAACGTCAGCTTGAAAGCCGACAAAACACATAATCCCATCGAATATGAACGGATTAAATCAAAACCCTCCGAATAAATCATATTAGTTAATTCATTTAAAAATATATAACGTGAAAAAATATCCAAATCAAAGCCGGCGCCCCACCTGCTTCGTTTCTCGCACTATTTTACCTCAGATCCTTCGCTTCTTTTCTGTTACTCTCTCCGCTGTGTTTCTCTCTCTTACCCTTTCTTTATAACGACTCCAATTTCGTCTCTCTCTGATCAAGTCCGCCTGTAAAATTTCTTCCTCTTTTACAGCGTTTTCTCTCACTAGATCTCCCATCGCCGACCCAACTCGACGATCTCTCTCTCCCTCTCTCTCGGTTAACACTCGTCTTCTTCGCTGCCTTTGACTTGTCCTCTGGCTGTCGTGTGAGATGGGACTGTGCTACGGAAAGAACATCCATGTAGCGGAGGACGATGGTGGAGGTAACACCGCCAGCCGCAGTCAAGTCGCGCCTCCTCCGGCGACGGCAAAAGGAACTACCCCTACCCGATCCTCCGGCACTAGCCCTTGGGCCAGCCCTTACCCCCACGGTGGCGCCAGCCCGCTCCCCGCCGGCGTATCGCCGTCTCCGGCTAGGTCTACACCTCGTAAGTTCTTCCGTCGACCCTTCCCTCCTCCATCGCCAGCGAAGCACATAAAGGCCTCTCTCCTCAAGCGTCTTGGCCAGCCAAAGCCCATTGAGAGCCCGATCCCGGAGGACGGAGGCGGTGGGGAGGATCGCAGGCCAGAGCGGCCTCTGGATAAGAGTTTTGGATACGGGAAGAACTTTACGGTCAAGTATGAGCTGGGAAAGGAGGTTGGGCGAGGACACTTTGGACATACTTGCTCGGCTAGGGCGAAGAAAGGGGATATTAAAGGGCAGCTTGTCGCTGTCAAGACCATCTCTAAAGCAAAGGTGCGGTGGTATGTGAATGAGGGGGTTCTCATATCTTCATTTGTATTTCGATTTCGTTAATTTCGAACTTCTTGTGCCATTGGCTGGCCACTGGTTACTGATTGTCTAAGTTTGGTTATAGATTCTTGATCTTATGATTCTACTTCGATTTTGCAATTGATTATTCTGTGGATGATTCTTGTTCTTTCTTGCAACGTACATTTACGTTTTTATGTTGGCTGGATACATATTGAATTTTAGACTTTATTGTTTTTTCACTTCTACTTCAGCAATAAATACAATAAGTTTTAATTTTAGGCTTGGTAAATGCTTTTAACCTTTTACAGCTTTAATTAAATTGATGCATTCTGGATAGATAACTTGTTCTGCAATATTTTTTGCAATATGTTGACTTGGCTTTAGCGCTATGAAACTTGTTAATCGTTATTTAAAAGGTCATTAAAGTTTTCTCTTTTTTTAAATTTATCCATCCTTCTGGAGATATGGGCTCCTGTATTTTTTTAACTGCCCATCATTCTCATTTGTAAAGCTCGTCTCTCACAGAAATGTAAAAGAATGATGAATTGAAGATAGACTGAATTTCAAATTTTACTTCTCAAAATTTCTTACCAAAGTATGCTTTTACTGCTCTATATTATCGTTATTGTTCACCTTAATGTAATCATCAATCATGCCTTGCCTGAACTTTCTGTTTTTTTCTTTTCTCGTTTAGATGACAACACCGATAGCAATTGAAGATGTTCGTAGGGAGGTGAAAATTCTGAGAGCGTTATCTGGACATCCAAACATGGTCAAATTTTATGACGCATGTGAAGATAGTCTTAACGTCTACATAGTCATGGAGTATGTTTCTTTTCTTATGAGTTATTGACACTGTTTTGCTTATAGTTTTCCTTTTAGAATTAATGTTGTGGTCTTGATTTGAGGATTTGTTTGAGCTCAAGAAAAGTTTCTTTTATGATGTATTTTGTTTCTTTTTCTTTTTATTGATCAGGTTGTGCGAAGGAGGAGAATTATTGGATAGAATCCTATCAAGGTGTTGCATATATTTTCAATCTTATTTAGTTTCACGTGTCTTGTCCCAACTATTTGGCATGTCAATCATCATCATCATCATAATAATTAGATGAGGCCTTTAAGATTTCTTATCTCTTTGATTTTTGTTGGCTAAAAGAGGAGGGAGGTACACAGAGGAAGATGCAAAAGTGATTGTTCTGCAAATCCTTAGTGTTGTTGCCTTTTGTCATCTACAAGGTGTTGTGCATCGTGATTTAAAACCAGAGGTATGCTTTGGGCACTTTTTTTTGAAACTGTTAATATTTTGTATTTACACCGTGCTGATGTGGTTATGCCTTTTTTTTTTTAACTTGTTTACAGAACTTTCTTTTCAGTACTAGAGATGAAAATGCTCCCATGAAGATTATTGATTTTGGTCTTTCTGATTTTATTAAGCCAGGTAACTTTAGAATAATTTACTTGATACTTCGCAAATGGCTCGGTGGAAATTTTATGCTATTGCTAGCCATTTCTGCTAAATGGCTTAAGCGGCAATGCACTATTGTAGATAATTGTAGATTTAAGAATCATGGTACTTATCATTAGCGCCACATGTTGGAGACTTCGGTTTGCATCTAATACTATACAGCTTGGATATTTGTTGAATTTAATGTTTTCTGATGACTTCTTAATATAAATTCAAGGGCTTCTTTTGAACTTTTGATTCTTTATGTTTGTGCATGCTTATTTGTTTTTGGCATCTTTTCTTTTATTTGGGCCATCCAATGCTTGCAATGTGCGTTTATATATGGATTCATATTATTACCTTTATTTTAGGAATATCATATAGAAATAATTACATTAATGGCCCTTCGCCTCGTCTTCATTGTGCTAGAAGAAATAATAATTGATAGCACTTGGGTTTCTATGCGGCTTGTATTACATCATTTTGTTTCATGAATTCTTAATCCTTGGCTAATTTCTTGGGTTGGCTGTTGCTAGTGTTATATAGAATGCTTTAAAAATGTCATTCAAATTAGTGTAGCAATATTTTTACCATGTTTTTGCATTTTGTGACCTTTAGTTTTTGCAGTCATGCAACACCATTGTTATTATTTAAATGTTTGTTTTCTTTGCTCCATCATTTTCCTTTTATAATGGCTGAACATCAATTGTGAAAGACAATGTTGTATGCAAAAAATTACTATGCCATTATAAGCTAATGACATGTTCAAATAAAATGCATGTTCGAATGTCTTTTGCTTGTGCATGAAAATAGGATACACCTTGCTGTTTTTTTTTTTTTTACATTTTTTGGCCACTTTTGGATTCGAGAACTGACCAGTGGGCTTATTGAGATTTTTCCATTAATCATCATTCCCTTCATCGTTGTCATCTACTTCTTCTCCTCTCTCTCTCTCTCTCTCTTGTTTCTTAGGTTATGTGATTTAGAAGCACTTAGAAATTCGTCCTCTGTTCTATTTGGAAAGCGCTTTGGATTGTCCCGAGGACCAAAATAGGTACATCAATTAGTCCCTCTGACTTGCACATACAAGGCAGATTGAAGCATGTGCTGCATTGAATATTGTAATCAAACTCTTCTCAAACGATTGGACTTTTATTGTAGAATCGTGAATTACATAAAATCCTTGAAATGATTTCTTTTTTTTTTGTTTATTTCTCATCATTCACGAGTTACCTCTGATAGTTTGTCTCTTTGGGCCATTCAAATACTACAGTTTCTTCTCATAAGAATGAATTTTGTTTATAGAATCAAGAGCCACTTATTATAAAATGATTTAATACGTCATTCTCTTCCTTTTTTTGATGCAAGTCTAATTCCTTCCTTCGCATAGTTTTCTTAAAGTTACTGCCATTCACAATATTTACTCTATCATTATTGATATTGCAGATGAAAAACTTAATGACATTGTTGGCAGTGCCTATTATGTTGCTCCTGAGGTTTTGCATAGATCATATAGTACAGAAGCAGATATTTGGAGCATTGGTGTTATTGCATATATCTTATTATGTGGTAGCAGGCCCTTTTGGGCGCGGACGGAATCAGGAATCTTTCGTGCTGTGCTGCGTGCTGATCCCAACTTTGATGATCCTCCTTGGCCTTCTGTATCTACAGAAGCTAAAGATTTTGTTAAAAGGCTATTGAATAAAGATTATAGAAAAAGAATGACTGCTGCACAAGCTTTAAGTAAGTACTATCTTCCATAAACTTCTGTCACTTGCTGTGGATAGCATGATGACAGTAGCTCAATTATTTGTATTGGTTAATCCGATGTATCTTTTGGTAATAATGTCCTATTTGGCAACAACTTAGTTTTTTAAGATAGATATCAAGAGAGTGTAATTGATAATTCTTTGATTGCAGCTCACCCATGGTTACGAGATGAGCAAAGACAAATTCCTTTAGACATACTTGTATATAAGCTAGTAAAATCATACCTCCGAGCTACTCCTTTCAAGCGTGCTGCCCTAAAGGTTTGTCATTCACCTCTTGGGTTCAGTTTTCCGGATTGCCCGGGCACAGACCACTTGATTTTGAAATGGTTGCTGGTTTTCCTTTTGATAGTTTACTATGGTGTACTTCCAGCTTGTGCTAGAAATATGAGTCACTCTTTGGATACCGTGATCTTGTAATTGTAACAATTATCATGATGCATTGAATCTCTTTAAAAATTGCCATGATCTGAACACCATCTATGCTATATTACTGTCACGATCTTTCTCTTGGCATTATTTGAAACCTTGGGGTCATATTTGTTTTAATATGGGCTTCCCAACTTTATGGTAAAAAAAATTAATTTTTGTCTTAAAAAGCTGCTTTAAGAAGCAGAAAGAAAGCCGTCCCAAACGAAACCATAATCATTTCTCCTCCATTGTAATTTCCCAAATTTTGTTTATGTTTCGGACATATTTTGTGTCCATTAGAATGTGTGGTATGGGATATTAGAATGCCAATGTGAAACCTCGAAACTCATCACTAATGCTTGCGTGTAACATGATGCTGGTTTCAGTGACCACTGGAGACCTGATGCTCTGTTGTATTTCTTAAAGTTACTCATTTAATTTTTTCAATTTTCTTGTGTGTTAGGATGTGAATTTCAATCCACCTCAGATATAATGCAACTCATGGATATTTGTGGCACTTTGTATAAGAAAATCATTATGTTTTGATCAAAATACTGTAGATACTCTGGTTAAGGCCAAGACTTTCATTATGTATGAATCATTCAAGGTTTCGCATTAAATCATTACAATTGTCGCTAAGTTTCCTAGTTTTATTTACTTTACTTTCTTTTACGTTAGATATGTACAAATTTGTCAGTTGTCAGATATCGAGTTTTAATTGTTTCAATTATTTGCAGGCTTTGTCTAAGGCATTAACTGAAGACGAGCTTATATATATAAGGTCACAGTTTCAGCTACTGGAACCTAGTAAAGATGGCCGTGTTTCCCTAGACAATTTTCGAACGGTCAGTTCATGTAGTTCCAATCTCTCTTTGCCATTAAAGAAGACATTTGGTTCAACTAATTTCTAATTTAATCTGTACATGTTTTTTGCATTCTGACTGTCTTATATATTTTGAACTCATTGCAGGCCCTTCAACAGAATGCGACCGGTGCTATGAAGGAATCTAAGGTTCCAGACATCCTGAATACGGTATGGCATTTATTATTTTCCCCGCTGCTGTTTATTTTTTAAAATCTTCTCCTAATTCCATTCTCACGGCAAATTGGTATTTTCTACGTAGTTACCTTGGGTGCACCATGTCTTGATTATATTGTATCCACTATGCTTTTACTGCTATTGTCAAATTGCTGCATTCTCAAATCCATTTTAATACCCGATTTATGCAATGTAAGTTATGGGCACCTGGATGGCACCCAAGCCTTTGAAGAATTAATTCTTGATATCATTGTCGTTGCCTCTTATACTTGTATCTTCAATTGCATGTCCTACCTTACAACTGAGCTCTCCAATGACAAGATATGTTTACTATTTTCTGCTAGCAACAACCCCAGGTCCCCAACATCCTGGCAATTTCTCAAAGCCCAATCTCTTTTTATTCAGCCACCAGGTATTTAGTGATTTTTCTACCTTTAGAACAAGAAAATATGTTTTCAGTCACCATCACCATTCATTCCTTATCATTTTGATATCAGAGAATGGTATGAGTGGATCTTGGCTATACTAGAATAAAGAGTGGAGGTCGAGTCTAAACATGCAGGAAATATATAGGTAGAGTGAAGATAACGGCGCCATGAACCATGGAAAAGAAATGCAAAGTATGGAAGAAGGAGAAATGCATTCCTCATTTATGATTAAAATAAAATACATATATTATTTTATAGGCAACTTATCGGAGTCCCTATAGGAGAGAACCACCTAGGCTAAGCAAAATGCACAAGCAACTTACATCATTTAATCCAAGCATATTTTTTATTACACCTAAATTTCTTGATGGGCCAGCCATATACTTATTAAATTTTAAATTTGAAATTGCCTCCAATAATGTATTATTGGATTAACTCCTTTTTTAATTTAAGCATTATTTCAAAGAAGAGAGTTTTATTAAATTTGAATTTTGAAATTGCCTCGAATAAATGATATAATTTCTCAGTGCTTTGAAATTTGATCTTGAATTTGAATTTTAGGGGTGTCATAATTTTAGGAAGAGAAAGAGGAGTGAAATTTTCATAAGTGAAGGTAGGTGGTTGGTCAAGCATAGAATTTATTCGTAAGTTATCAAACTATGGTGCCATAGATTATATATTGAAATCATTCTTTGATTACATTCCAAGCCTTTGGGAGTCAATTAAAATTTTTCCTTGCTTTATAAAGTTTATGGAAGCAGAAGTAAAAATAAATTTTCTTCTTCATAGATATGATGCTTTAAAATTTATATCTTTGTTTTATATCAAGTAGTCAAATAAAAGAATGCCATACAGGGAGGCAGGGTGTGATGTAGAACATCATGTTTATTATGAAGCTCCTATTACAAGATCAAGAATTAGAGAAGAATTAATTTTATGCCTATTACAAGATCACGATTTCAAGTCTAAGTTTATATCATTGCTTTATGGCTCGTTTTTAGTGAGATTTGGAGTATTTTGAAGCATTGGAAAGAAATTGAAGATGTTTTAGGAACTGAGAATGATGAATATATGGTTTATGGTGGCATTGGAATGAAGAGCACAAGAATAGTTGAGATAACCTACATCTCCTAACTCGGTGAAACTAAAAGGTGACTACCAAGCTCCAACCTTACAATAATAACAACAACAACATCAAGCCTTTGTCCCACTACGTGGAGTCGGCTACATCAATCCTTTTTCGCCATTGTGTCATATTAAAAGTCAAATTCTCATTTAAATCTAATAGAAAAATATCATTCTAATATTTTCTAACCAAGTCTTTTTAGGTCTACCTCTACCTTTCTTAGCACAAGTCAAATCTAAAACCGCAACTTTCCTAACCGGATCATCGGAAGACCTCCGTTTAATGTGACCAAACCATCTAAGGCGATTCTCTCTAATCTTATCTTCCACTGGAGCTATTCCAACCTTTTCACATATATGCTCATTTCATATCATATCTTTAAGGGTAAAACCACTTATTCACCTAAGCATCCTCATCTCTGCAACACTTAACTTAGTATTATGTTTCTCTTTTAATGGCCAACAATCAGCACCATAAAACATTGCAGGTCTCACCACCATCTTATAGAATTTTTTATTAAGTTTGAGGGGGACTTTTCTATCGCACAACAAGCCCAATGCATTCCTCCACTTCAACCATCCAACTTGAATCCTGCCGATAATATCCCTATCTATTTCACCATCACTCTGAACAATAGATCCAAATTATCTCAAATGTGTACTCTTATTATGACTTGATCACCCAAAGTCACAATCTTCTCACTAGGTCTATTGCTATTAAAATAATAATTCTCAAATTTTTTCAATTATCCAAAAAGATTTTCATTTATCTCTAGCAATTATTTAAACATTTCATCAACTATAAAATATTCAAAATTTGAAAAAAAAAAGTGGAAAATGAGAGAAAAAGGGTTAACCACCCAAAGATGGGGAGACAGTGGTAAGCCACTCCAACTACCTATTTTTAATCAAGCTTCAATTTGAATATAAGTATTTGCTTTAGCCAATCAAACATACTGCTAAAGAGTTCTGTAATAATTCTGAAGGAAGGAAATAATATTCTAAGCCTACATATATTTTTAAGATTTAAAAATTCAAAATTTAATGCTTAAATTTTGAAATTGAAAAAAGTTTTGCAATTTTTGTAGTCTAATTTTTTCATGCTTTTGATCAATCATATGCTTCATGATTTGTATTCTTTGATCTCGATCAATGCATTTTAATTCTTAATCTTGTGACAGGTCCTTCATTAATCAATACTATGTTTTGCATTAGGGAGGAAAGGAAGAAGAATAAGGAACCGTTGTAGACTTGTAGGTAGGAATAAAGGATTGTCTATAATAAATCTATGATCTAAATTCATATTGTCAGTTAATTCATTTGTTAGAAGGCATAATTTTCCTATTCGTAACCAAAGGAATAATTCTCCTATTTATAAATAGGGTTACAGATAAGATTGAATTAATCAAATCTATTATTTTCCAAACTATCTAAAGTTATCTAAAATAATAAGTTAGCATAAAATAAACATAATAAATCTTGATTTAAAAAAAATCTAAAATATTAATGATAACTTAAGTCTAATTTATCATATTTCATCAAGTTCTTTGGGCTATAAAGAACTCTACATGAAGGAATTGCAATATTGCTAGAGCAAGAATCGAAGGTCATTAACTATTTCTAGAGCTAGTGAAATTCATTATGAAGAGGAAAAACAATATCTAGTCTAAAAAACATCAACCTCTCCAATATATTTATAACTCTCCATGCTATTTATAGTAATATGGTTACATATAAGATCAAATTTGAAATTAAAACCATCCTTCAAATTTCCCAAAATTATTCAAATGGAGAAATTATCATAACATAAATAAAATCTATTCAAAATCGTGATTTAAATAAATCCCAAAAAAATGAAAATAAACTAACATAGTTTATTATACTTCATCAATGGATGATGATGAAAATGGAATATATAATGACATTATATTATTGATTTTCCTAAAAACTTAAATTACTTAATCATACAATAACACCAAGCCTTTATCCCACTATCTTGATATAAGCTTTTTAGCCAAATATTGGAATATAGAACACAACAAAATGTGATAGATAGTTTTTTGGCTTAATACAATTTAATATGAATGCTATAAATTTAATTTATTTGAATAATTTGTAAAAAATTTATGTTATCTTATCTTATTTCTATTGGAAGTTTATAACATAGGCTGGTTGTGATAACATCTCAGTTGGAGCCCCTCTCATACAAAAAGATGGACTTTGAAGAGTTTTGTGCCGCAGCAGTCAGCCCTTATCAGTTGGAGGCGGTGGAAAGATGGGAGCAGATTGCAGCTACAGCATTTGAGTATTTCGAGCAGGAGGGTAATCGGGTCATCTCAGTTGAGGAGCTGGCTCGAGTAATAATAGATTTCTTGCCCATTTTCTACTTATGATTAGATCAAAGACTTTGGCTTCATTCGGGACGATTTTCTTCATGCTTCTTAAAGCGACATTCTAGTACAAAAATTTAAATTTTTTAACTAGAAAGTCATTTTAAAAAGCAGTAAGAAAGTCGTCCCAAATGAAGCCTTTATGTCCTTCAAATTCACTAATCTCAATTTGATTTTGTAGGAGATGAACCTTACTCCAGCAAATTATTCCAATGTGCGTGATTGGATCCGACCTGCTGATGGCAAACTTAGCTTTTTTGGCTATACGAAATTTTTGCATGGTGTGACTATACGCGGTTCTCATACAAGACATAGATAAGCCTGCCTTTTACTCTCATCTCATTCAAATATAGTCTTTCAGTATAGTGCTTGCATATCCTTTTTTATTCTTTTGGTTTTCTTTTAAAGATAATTGTATCCTCCATAGTAAGCTTGGTGTAGTCAAGTCCCTTGAGTTGATTCAGCGAGCAATAGTTTCAGCTTTTTTTTTTTTTTTAAATGTTTTTATTTTTGTTTTTTGCAGCTTGCTTATGGTTTAAGCAAGATCTGCACAGTGGAGCTTGTTTTTGCTCCATATGTCAATTATATAGGATACAAATATTTTGTCTTTTATATCATATTTGAATAATGATGGACCCATAGATTTTAGGTTTTTTTTTTTTTAGAATATCAGAAACCTGTAGAAGTGGATTTATTATTCTGTGCGGAGTCCGGAGCGTCCGGAGACCAATAAAAATGCGCCGCATCACTCTAAAAAAGTATCGTGCTCAGTACGGAGCGCGTAACCGGACGGGAGAACCGTCCGGTATCTGCATAGAATAATAGCAGGTAGAAGTGACATGAAATGGAATGAGAGATGTTGCATTACCTTGATTCTCCAAACCATGTATATTTGTATAATTAGCCTTTTTTTCCGTTTGAGTAAAGCTTTCTCCAAACAGAACCTAAGCTCTTATAGAGCTGTGCTGCTGGCCTTCCTAAGTTTAGTAGAACTCGGATTCAGCTACTCAGATGCCAAGTGTATTAGCTGATTTCATCCAGCCCCTTCTGGTTTTAAAATTTGGACTGGACTGGACTGAGGGGTCTGGCCGGTTCGGTTGTAAACCGGTCCTGCTGAACAATTGCTTATGTATAGAATTGGCCCAGAGGTGGTCAGAAATGATGGTTGAACAGGAGAATCGGCCTGATTTTGGATAAACCGGCTGCTTTAAATATATAACCATTTTTTGAGCTTTTGATTTTGTAAAGTGGCTGTAATAGAAAATTAGAGGATTCAACAAGTTCAACCACTTTATGATTTATGTTTTTGAATTATTGATTTAAATATTAATGTTACTTGAACTTGAATATTTTATAAATAAATAAAATATGATGCTTCAAAATTATATTTAAAATAATCATTTTTGGAAGTTCATGATTTAAAGTATTACATAAGATTAGTGAAAATATCATTATTATTTTATTATTACATTATTTTGAGGTATATTGAAATAATTTTAATATTTGTTATGTTTAGGGTTCAATTCTTAGCCTAATCCCAATTAACATAAATAAATGTAGGAAAAAATGTTTCCTTTCATGGTGCTTGTTTTATATAACAGAATATATGAGTTGCTTCAAAATATGGTACTCATAGCTGACCGCAAACCCAATTAAGCTCTTACCGATCTCCCTTCGATCCTCCTGCCGCAAGCCACGATCTCCTCCAGACCCGACAGTCTCTCGTGGACAGGAATTTTTATTACGTCCTCTGACCGGACGTTTATCTACATTCGGTCAGAGGATTGTTACTCAGTTTTTGCTTGATATTTGGTCGGTATTGTTAGGTATTGTTTGGTAATAATGAGGAATACCGCTCTATGAAGATCAATATCAAGTTATACCGAGCAATATCGAGTAATACCAAAAAATACAGAGTTTTTTCTAGAAAAAACTCGGTATTTTTTGGTATTACTTGGTATTGCTCGGTATAACTCGGTATTTTGTCTTCACATAATGATATTTTCTCGTTATTTTTGGTATTGCTCGGTATTTCTCATTTTGTGCGTGCGATCTTAATGCGGCCGAACGTAGCTCTACGTACGTTCACCAGATGTAATAAAAGTTCCGTGGACAGAGCTTCAACCCATCCGCCGCTTCCGAACCTCTACAACCCATCAGCCCATTTGACCTGCTTGCGGCCAATCTACCCGCACAAGTCCTAACTCAACATCTATAAGGCCAAACCTATCCTAGCCGCAGGTATACTTGATCGGCCCTCTACTGCAGCCGAATAAGTCTATTTAACTCTGTTTACCATTATTACAAGTTATTATTATTATTACTATTAATATTGTTAAAATTAGCATTATCATCATAGTTTTCTTATTTTCTCTCGGAGTGCGGACGGGGAGAACCGTCCGCACAAGCATTGGGTACCTAGCGTTACTTCACTCGGTACTGCTGGGTACCGCTAGGTATCCAATGCTTGTGTAGATGGTGCGCACTCTGCACTTTCTTTTTTTCCCTTTTTTTTATACTTCCTTTTTTTTTTGCTTTCTTTCCACACAGCACATTATGAAAATTTATTAAGTTGCAGAGCTGCGCACCACCTCGCTACACGAGGGCACTGTGGTACCTAGCGGTACCCAGCAACTCGCCAGCGAATATGTTATTTCCGAGGTGAGTAACGCTATAGGGTACCGCAATGCTTTGCGGACGGTTCTCCCCGTCCGCACTCCGAGAGAAAGTTTGAAATAATGATGGATAATTACTAGAATTTATCGTCCGCACTCCGAAGGAAGAAAGAATAAGAGAAACTATGATGTATAATGACTAGTAATATTTAAACAATAATTGAATAGTTAATAATGATAATATTAAAAAACCACGCTCCGGCTCTCGCCGGTGTAAATAATGTATAAACATAGTTAAATAGACTTACTTCTGGGAGGCTGCAGTGTGTAGACGCGCGTCCGATCAAGTATTTATACCTGCGGGCGTTCTAGGATAGGTTTGGCTTTATAGATGTTGAGTAGAGAATCTTGTCGCGAGGTCTCTCGCTCTCGCGCCGCAAGCAGGGTCAGGTTTATATGAGCAGCCCCCGATGGTGCCCGTAGAGGTCGGCCCAACTCAAGCTGGCGGATATGGTGTTGAAGCTCTCGTTCCATCGCGGCCATAACTTTGGTATGCTACATATCCTGCAGATGGAACGTACGGTCCCAAGAGCTGGACGTTCCATCTTTTGCACTGCGCAACTCGCATTAAGATCCGCACACACAAATGAGAATACCCGAGCAATACCAAAATTAACGAGGAACACTAAGTCATTATTGAAGACACAAGACATATACCGAGTCCGGTATACGAGGCCGATATACCAAGTCTAATACCAACAGAGACGGGAAGATATAACCGAGTTTTTTCTAGACAAAACTATTGTATTTTTATACTCGGTATTACTCGATATTGCTCGGTATAACTTGATATTTGATCGTTCATATTAGAGCGGTATTCCTCATTATTACCAAACGATACCATAACTAGCGTAATTATCGACCAA